AAAACGAAACGATAAGATAAACAAAATATATAAACTTTAGATAATGAAAATTCTTTCTTAAAAAATATTATTTAAACGTTCACTTTGAAACGTAATATTTGCGATTACGCGAATTTGATCTTGGAAATAATTCTTCGTGAATTCTACGTGTAATTAATATTTTTTGTAATAAGAAAAAGAGAGCTAAGAGAGGGAGAGAGAGAGAGAGAGAGAGAGAGAGAGAACTGAAAGAGAGTTGTGTCAAGTAGAGTTGGTACCTTCGTGTTGAATTTTCAAGACTTTTTTTTCTATATAATATATGTATGTACATATATATATATATATATATACATATATACTTACGGAGCACTAAAGCCACAATGTGTCTATCTAAGCAGTAACGTTACAACGCAGAGTCGTTACTTCGCGTTAACCACATGTTGCGAGAATTTCTCCCACTCGAATTGGCCCGTGGCGGCTCCTCTTTCAAAATTCTCTTTTGTTACTTCCTTCCTTTTCTTTACTGATTTCCAAGCACGATAGATGGGAAGGGTACCTAGAGAGAAAGAAAGAGAGAATGATAGAGATATACACATACATACAAACATATACATATATATATATATATATACTCATCGCGACTTTTTTTTTATTATTTTCCCCTTCTTCTCTCATTTATTTTATCCTTATCTCTTTTTCTCTCTCTCTCTTTTTCTCTCTCTCTCTCTCTCTCTCTCTCTCTCTCTCTGTCTCACTTATATCCAAAATTATGCACGGCACGTAGAACTCGTTGCACCGGTGCAATCTCCACTGTAATGAGACGAACGTGCGTGTCAGCTGGTATAAAGTAGCGAAGGGACACCCTATATATATATATATGTGTGTGTGTGTGTGTGTGTATGTTTATATATACGTACTTGTATGCGTATATGAATGCGTCTTTGTCAGTGACAATTTTTTTAAGGGTACCGCCACCATAAGAAGAGGAAGGCTTTCGTGTCTTGCGAGAAAAGACGCGATCTTTTCGATAACAAGCTCGCATTCGTTTCTTTGCCCTTAAGGTATAACGTAGGTAGTACCTATAGCGAATTTGCCAAGGGTAACGTGTGATTTTCGCGTCAGAATAAATTGAACGAATCGTCGAGTTTAAAAGAACACGTGCCCAATCGAATTTATATTTTATATCCTTTCGATATTAACTCCCCCGCGAAATAATAATAAAAGAGGAACGATCGAAAATTTTTTTCTCCCATTCCCCTTTACTCTCTTTTAAAAATTATTATCCATATGTTGAACATTGTCCTATATTAATTAATGATAGTCTAATGTATCGATGTAATTTTATCGATTTGTTAATCTCCTTTATTTTTTCTTTTCTTTTTCTCTTTTTTTTTTTTTTTTTTTTTTTCTTTTTAATTTAATTAAAAATGTTACTTATATTCGTTCGATGTAAGAACGATGAAATTTAATTATTACAATAATGTTTGATAACATTCGAACTGATAAGAAATTAATGATAGTATTTAAGAATTAATAATATGATCTCGCGCTCTCTCTCTCTCTCTCTCTCTCTTTTTACGTACGCGCATGCACGCATACATTAATGTTATGTATCGTTAAAAAGAAAAAAAGAATATTTACCAAAAAAATATAGAAAAACGAAACGAAATAAATAGAGACAAAAAATGGGAAAAAAATAATAGAAAAGAAAAAAAAGAAAACATATATATATATATATACACATAAGGGATCCTTGCCGGTTATATGTTTCGGGAAGGGCATCGTTGTGGATTTGACTTTGCAGTTGTGCTGCGTGCAGCATCCTCCTTTCGTGTGTTTAACTTGTAGGATGCCGACGAGAGGGGAAAAAGAGAGAGACAGAGAGAGAGAGAGAGAGATAGAGAGAGACAGAGTGTGAGGGAGGAGGGGAGGAGGACGAACAGAGGGCCAGTAAAAGTGACGAGGGTATGATGTTCGCTTTAATATCCACCAGCAGGTATATATTCTCACTTGCTTCCTCTCCGGTTTGCCTTCTCCCTTTTTCTTTAATCTTTTCTCTCTCTCCCTCTCTCTCTCTCTCTCTCTCTCTACACACACACACACACACTCTAACACACACTCGTTCTCTTTTTTTTTCTCCCTTCTCACTCATTTATAGCGTCTGTATATCGAGTGTGTCGGTGCTGGAAACTCGTAACGCATGGGAAACTCTTGGCTATGGGGGAAAGTCCTTAAGTTAAAAAGAGAGAGTGAGAGAGAAAGAGAGATAGAGATAGAAATAGAGATAGAGATACACAGAGATAGATATATAGATAAATTTTTCAAGACTCACGTAGAAATATCTATCACTATCGAATTCTACTACTAAGTTGTTGTTGGTATGACTGTTTAACCATCGTCACGATCAGCACCCGCACAAGAACCATAAGTGGAATGAGCGAGCAAGTGTGAAAGAGAAAGAGAGAGAAGAATGAAAGGAAGAAATAAACGAAGCACATCTTTTCAAAGAGCGAACAGGACCTCCGGGATACCGATTCAGACCGCTGACTTGCAAAATTCTTAAGACTGCGAGAAAATAAAAGCACGAAAAAGGGGGATGTAAAAGAGAGAGAGAGAGAGAGAGTTAGACGTGAGAGACTACAAAATCGTATCCTTAGAAAATATTCAATGCACTTAGGCTTCTAAATGAGAACATTATTTTTCATTTAACAAAAGATGACTGTTCTTAACGATCACTCTAATTGCCATTATCTAAACGATATTTAGGCACAATTCTTTTTTCACTCCTTTTTTCTCTCCCCCCTCCCCAACCCCTCATCAAAGTCTATATAATATATTAAAATGATGATTTATATTCATTATTTAAATTAATATTAACGTTTATCATTATCATCAATTGTTCGAAAAGATCCTATCCATTATATTATCCCTATATCTCTCTTTCCCATTTTACTCATTACAATACACGTTATAAAATTAATATTAACACGATTTTCATGATTATTAATTATCGCGAAGGAATAATGTTCATTGAAATGTTAATATTAATATTAATGTTTTCGTAATTATCAATCATTTCGGGGGATTTTGAATTTATTGTTAAAGTAATATTCAAATAACGTTTTTATGATTATCGCTCGTTTTGGGAAAGGATTTATATGCTAAAAGGATAAAGAAAAAGAGAGAGGCAAAGGTAAAAGAGGGAGAGAAAAGAAAAAGGAAAAAATAAAGAAATTGACTTCTTTGTCTCAAATTAAAAAAAAAAAAAAAAAAAAAAAAAAAAAAAAGAGAGAGAGAGAGAAAGAAAAGAAAAAGAAAAAAGGAGCTTTAGATAGCGAACGAACGAACGAGAACGCACGGAAGAGAGAGAGAAAGAAAGAAAGAAAGAAAGGAAAGGAAAGAGAAGAAGAAGAAGAAGAGAAAACAAAAAAAAATGAAAAGGTTACGCCAATGTCGTGGCGGCGATCGTAAATAAATAAAACGGGAGATGTGTAAGTGTAATATCTTAAAAAAAGAGTGAGGTGCTGGCGGGTGAAATAAATAAATGGCGACCGGTGGTGTATCCAGGGTTAGGCGTCGTCATGGGTCCTTTGTCCAATGGGCCGTGCGGCGTTTCAGGGTCCTGGTATTAGGATTAGCCACGCCATGCCACGCACACACGCACACACACACAGAGCAACAAAAACACACACACACACACACGTACATACACATATATACACGAACAGAGACGTACATACACGTACACATATACATTTAAAAAGCGAGTTTGAAGTCGTTGTACGTGATATACGTGTAGGTATTTCTTGTTTATGTGTACGTAGAGGTAGGACCGAAGGGAAAAAGGAGGAAGGGCATAGGACTCGCGAGGATTATGCCTACGCCGTTTACTGCTTCTTCTTCTTCTACTACTTCTTCTTCTTCTTCTTCTTCTTCTTCTTCTTCTTCTTCTTCTTCTTCTTCTTCTTCTTCCTTTTGTCTCTTTCTTTCTCTTACATGGAAATAGAGGAAGACGGAGAGAAGAGAAAGAGGATCTCTTGTATCTCCGAAGGATCTACGCGTATTTTCACTTAGCAACTTACAAGACACTGGCCACCGTTGATGTAACTCACGGTTAGGTTGGATCATTAGTACCTCGATGGTCTCCTCTACAAGTATGTCCTCTATCAAGAGCCACCATACTTTTCTTTTCTTTTCTTTTCTATTTTTTCTTTTCTATTTTGTATTATTTTTATTTCATTTCTTATCTTATCCTTATCCTTTATTCCGATCGTTCTCTTTTCTTTTTCTTCTTCTTCTTCTTTTCTTTTCTTTTTTCAAGGGTTAATCAACGTGCCCTTATGTATTTAAATCGAAACGATATCTATCCGATGATTTCGTTCGAAATGATTTCACGAATGATCATTGAAATTAGGAATTTTTATGGGACGTCGACGTAAACTTCATTCTCGAATAAAGAGATTTCCGTGGACTTTCAGGATAGATCGAAAGGGAGGACTACGGTGCAGCAGGATCGAAACGATCTGCAATTAGTGAATCTGTGCGTACCTTCGAGATCGGCGATCGTCGTAAGTACATTCGAAGAGAGACAAGTTTCTCTGTCTCTATCTCTCTCTCTCTCTTTCTCTTCTTCTTGCTTTCTCTTTCTCTCCCTCTCTCTCTCTCTCTCTCTCTCTCCAACTCGCAAAAGCTCGTAACAGCTTCAGCGGCCGTGATTACGTGTGAAGAAGCATTTCATTCGTTCATTCATTTATTCATTCATTCATTTATTCATTCATTTGATCGTTTGTTCGTTCATTCATTCATTCATTCATTCATTCATTCATTAATTCATTAATTATTCGTACTGCATCGTTCGATCGTTTCTTAAATGAATCTGCTTATCGTCTATCTCACTTAATCTTCTTCTTGGCTTTCTAATCTTTCTAAATTTCTTTCTCTTTTTTTCCTTTCTTTATTACTTCTATTCTTTTTCTTTTTTTTATTTTTTTTTTTTTTTTTTATATAATTTATATTTGTTCTTTTCTTCCTTTTATACAATCGTCCGATGACGACCAACACTCGTACTCTAGGCTGCACCTAGAAAAAGAAAGGATAGAAAAGAAGATGAAAAAGAGAAAAAAGAGAGAGAGAGAGAGAGAGAGAGAGAAAGAGAAATTGTTATATAATAATGCACGCCTTGATTCCATTGGAACGAAAAAGAAAAAAAAAAAGAGAGAGAAGAAAAACAAAATAGACAAGTGGACGAATACGACAATGGCGCTAACGAGGCGGTACGTCTAAACGGCCGAAAAAGAAAGCGTTAATTCGCACCTTTCAAGTGTAAATTTCACCGACACTTCCACTCTTCTTCACTACGCTCTCATTTCCACTATCTTTCTTTCCCAATTTCTTTCTTTCCTTCTTTCTTTCTTTCTTTCTTTCTTTCTTTCTTTCTTTCTTTCTTTCTTTCTTTCTTTCTTTTTATATTTTTTATCCTTTATAAACTTCCCATTTCTCCTGCCTCCTATTACGAATGGACACGCCCCGTAAAGTTTTTCCCAAATCTTTCGATTTTTCTTGTTTTTTTTTTCGATTTATTATTATTATTATTATTATTATTATTTTGTTTTTTTTTTTCTAGGAAGAAAAATATCCGATTAGAATTCGTTTATTGATTTATTTTTCGACATTTGCATCCCTCTCTTTCTCTCTCTTTTCCTCTCTTGTACACTCGATATATATATATATATATATATATATATATATATATGTATATATTTGTTCTTGATAAAAATATCTATTCATAAAATTTATATACCTAATCTACGGTTAAGCAAATTTGTCAAAGATGTTAAGCGAAGAAAAAAAAAGAAAAAAAAAAAAAAAAAGAAAAAAAGATAAATCAAGCAACACGAGAGTTTATAATCGGTCTTCTTCTGCGGAGTTCCTCGAACTGAAACAAAGAAAAAATTTAAAGAAAAAAGACACAAGAAAAAGAGAAAGAGAAAAAGGAATAAAGAAAAAGAGATAAAGAAAAAGAGATAAAGAAAAAGGAGAAATTTTTGTATATTTATATTCTCCTGTAGGCACACGAAATTCTTCCTTGAGTAACACACAAAATCCACTCCCACTCTCAACCCTCCCCCTCCATCCTATCCCCTCCATCCTCTCTCTCTCTCTCTTTCTCTCTCTCTTTTTTCAAATTTATTTACTCGGTCGAATAGTTGAAATTTTCACAAAACAAAATTATCAAAAAAAATTTTTCTTCGTAGAACTCCTGACTCTTGTCGTTGTCATCGATCATCACTCGACGAAAAGAATCAAAAAAAAAAAAAAAAGAAGATATTTTCACACAGAAAAAGAGAGATATACACACACACAGAAAGAGAGAAAGAGAGAGAAACAGAGAGAGAGAGAGAGAAAGAGAGAGAGAATAAAGGAAAGAAGAAGGAAACAGATAAATAAAAATTCGTTATTAGTTTAAAAAAAAAAAAAACAAGAAAAAGAAAGATGAAGAGGAAAATGAAAGAGAAGAAGTAAAAGAAGTAGAAGAAGAAGAAGGAGGAGGAGATGTTGAAGGGAAAGGAGATGAGGGAAAATATAGAAATAGGAAAAATAAGGTACCATATACCGAGCACGCGACAGCTGCATCCCGTCGTTGCGCTTGCGTTGCACAGTGGCAGAGAGTTTACAGGCACAGTTGCATCTTTGCAATGACGGCTGCGCTCCCCTCCAGACTACTATACCCCTCCCTACCCTTTTTCGACCATAGAGACGATAGGAGGATAGGCAACGAGGGGGTTGGTTAAAGAAAAAGAGAGAGAGAGAGAGAGAGAGAGGCGGAGAACTACGAAGAGTCCGTTGGTAGGAGAAGAAGAAGTAAGAGGAGGAGAGAAATAATAATAGAAGAAGAAAGAAGAAAGAGAAATATTAATAGAAAAGTATACGTAGTATTAGAATTAGGAATTAGAAAAATAAAAGTAGATATGGTCGAGGAAATGGAAGGGAAAAGGCTTCTCTCTCTCTTTCTCTCTCTCTCTTTTTCTCACTCTGTCTCTCTTTCTTTCTTTTTCTCGTAGTATGAGGAGGGCGCTATTACGGGGAGCGAAAGGATCTCTTTGTCCTCTCAGTGAGAAAGAAAGAGAGAGAGAGAGAGAGAGAGAGAGAGTGATCCTTACAGCAGCACTGACCTGCTGCCCCACTGGCGTAGAGTGCCCGGAGGAGTCTTGATTTATCGAGCGTGTTCTTCTCTTGGCTTGGATGCTGCGCTCCACATACGTGAGTTCTTCCTTCTCCTCCTCCCCCTCTTCTCCTCCTCCTCCTTCTTCTTCTTCTGCATCTTCTCCTTCTCCTCTTCCTCTTCCTCTTTCTCTTTCTCTTCTATCTTCTTCTTCTTCTTCTTCTTCTTCTTTTTCTTCGTCGTCGTCGTCGTCGTCGTCGTCGTCGTCGTCGTCGTCGTCGTTGTCGTCGTTGTCGTCGTTGTCGTCGTTGTCGTCTTTCTCTTCGTCCTTCCTTTACAGCTCTTCTGTCCCTTCACTTTTTACTCTATCCTTAGGCACACGTCGGCCGCTAATTGCTTCGTTCCCTTTATCGACGATAAATTCTCGGTGCGAAGCGTTTTAAACCGGCTAGTGTTCTGCCGATCGATTGCGTTTTTTACTTAGAGAGTGTGTTGAGTGAGAGAGAGAGAGAGAGAGAGAGAGAGAGAGAGAGAGAGGGAGAGAGAGAGAATTATGATAGAAGACAAGTCATCGTTATAGACCATGTCCTCGTTTAAAACGAGCAAACATAGGGGAAGTTATGAGACGATAAATCCTCGAAACTGTTTCCTACTTTCTTCTCTAACATATATCTGCCGAAGAATGATATTGTTTTATTAAAAGAAAATAAAAAAGAAAAGAAGAAGAAGAAGAAGAAGAAAAAGGAAAGAATAAAAATAAAATTAAGAAAGAAATGAGGAGGGATAAAAAAGAGTTACGTCTACTACTTGAATCATATTTTTATATACGTATATATATATATATATATATATATTTATATTTATATTTATAAAAAGAGATAGATAGATAGATGGAGAGAGAGAGAGAGAGAGAGAGAGAGAGAGAGAATGTAAAAATATTTTTAACTTCGATATAATATAATTCAACCGATGCGTACATAATCGACACAAAAGCGATCTGTCAATTCATGCGCTAAATTTTTCGCATGTAGGTCAGAGTGTTATATAAACAGGATGATTATAGATGGTGGAAAACGTGTGGTACGTTTTAATTATAACATTCATTATCGTTAAAGGAAATTTATTAAAAAATTCGTTAAAATGTTCGAGAGATAAACATTTTTTTTTTTTTTTTTTTTTTCTTCTCTCTCTCTCTCTCTCTCTCTCTTTTCGATGCCCATTGCTTGATTTATTTCTTTCCTTTCTATATATATATATATATATATATATATATACATACAGATAACAGAACTGGCTAATTGCAGGCATGCTGCGTTAAAGTTAACTTTTGCCAAAAATCCCTATAGCCCAATGGAACCCCATACTGTTGCACCAGATCGGTGCTTTTTGACAGGTATAACTTTCTACGCTTTACGCATGTCCACCTACGTATACTTGTCGTGCAAGGCAAGGATTAGTTAGAATCTTAAATCTACAGGATTCTTTCTCTCAGGATGAAGTAGAATTTTTACTTTTCTTTTTCTTTTTCTATTATTCTTCTTCTCTCCTTTTTTCTTTATTCTTTTTTCTTTCTTTTTTTTTTTTTTGTGTTTATTCTTCTACTTCTTCTTTCCTCTCATTGCCATTTTTTCTTTGTGTTTTTCTTTATTGTTATTTGTCTTCTTTTATCTTTTTCTTTTTTTTTTCTTTCTTTTTTTATTATTATCGATGGGACGGAAGGAAGGAAGGAAGAACGAACGGAAGAAGAAGAAGAAGAAGAAAAGAAGTTTCGTTTCCATTGCCGACCATTAAACCAGGGATGATAAATTTTTATATACGCCTGTTCCAACGTTAATAGTCACTTACTTTCGGTCGACATTCTTTTGAAACCTGTTTTTCGTGAAACTCGCCTATAAGAAGCTCGTACTTTGACCAGAGACGTATCTATAGAAAATCGAACATTTTTCGAACACCTTTCTCTCTTCTTATATTATTATTCATACGAAATTATATGGTTGAGATGTTGATGCGAGTTCCTTGATCGATAGATTTCTTTTCGTTTGTGATTGGTAAATAATTTTATACAAAAATTTATCCGTCCTATAGACAATTTTTTTTTCTTTTTCTTTCTTTTTTCATTTCGAATATATATATATATATATATATATATATATATATATATCTTCTCTCTTGATATTATCTATACCGAAAATTATATGTTCGGATACGTTCGCTTAAATGAATAAATTTTTGAAATTTCTATCGTCGATTTCTGTTGAAACAAAAACAAAAAAAAAAAAATGAACGAAGAAGAAGAAGAAGAAGTTTTACTTAGCAGGAGCCGAATAGAAAGTGAAATTGTTTTTTTTTTCTTTTTTTTTTTTTTTTTTTTTTTTTTGTTTCAAACAACTTTTATTTCGAAATTACTTAGAAAATGTTAATATATTACACTAATTTTTATATCCTTCTAAATTTCATTCGATTTATATTAAAAAAGAAATTCTTAAACAAATAAATTCTTAAAGAAACAAATTTATCTTCGTAGAACTTTCATCACGTCCCGTGATAATTAATTATACAAATTTTTCTTTTTTTTCCCCTTCAAAAAATTCAAACTAGAAAATTACTCATACATTTTTCATTTACGAAGTAATGCCAAAGAAATTATATACATCTGTTATATGGATAATAATCTTTCTTCGTTGATCAATAGGGTAGATAGGGTTGAAAGGGATTTTTCTCCGTTTTCCTTGAAAAGATCCTTAGAAGGTCTAAGGGAAAAAGTTAAAACCAAAAGAAGGGGGAGCTTGAATCTCTCACGAATTCTTGAAAAAAGCACAGAAGTAATAGAAAAAGTAGAAGAAGAGAAAGAGGAAAAGAGGAGGAAGAAGAAGAAGAAGAAGAAGAAGAAGAAGAAGAAGAAGAAGATGAAAGAAGGGATGGTCAGGTGAAATTCTTTTGTGGAATAAGAATGTGCATAGGGTTCTCTAACTCTTGACTATCCTCTCATAGAAAAAGATGAGCTAGATGGTTTGACCTTAGAGAGAAAAGGAATGATGCAAATGTGACTATTGTTCAGGGGAAATCGAAGAAAACGATTTTTCTTTAAGTCCTTCGTGAAAGTTAAGTCAATTCTCTCTCTCTCTCTCTTTCTCTCTCCCTCTCTCTCTCTTTTTTTTTTCTCGCTATAGCTTTTGAAAAGCTACGAACCGTTTCGGTATTGTGGTAAATCTGAAAATCTCTTAAAATAACGTTATGTTACCTGCGTCGATCGTTTCTTAGGATTTTTTTTACCATCTCTTCAAAATGATTTTCTGACCGTCTCTCTCTCTCTCTCTCTTCCCCTCTCGTTTTGCATCTTTGATTTCAGATAAGAATCACCCCTCGTCCGTGCTGTAACTTCTAAAGCTACACGAATACGATCGAACGCGAACGACTACAACGAAGACGACGACGACTACGACGACTACGACGCATTTTGACGAAGGATGACAGCGTGTGTTAGGTGCGAATGTTCTTTATAGAGAGACACAGAAAGAGGGAGAGAGAGAGAGAGAGAGAGAGAAAGGGAGAGAGAGAGAGAGAGAGCAGAAAGAACTTTCTTCACGATCGTTCTTTCAAACTTGTTTAATCTGTGAACCTGCAAGATTTTTTCGAACTATCGACGTGTCTTCGGATGACTACACACACACATAA